AATTGTCATCATATTAAAATAATTTAAATATCTGCTATAAATTTTTTATATCTTGAAGTTAAATTATTTTATTTCATACCTTTGTTTCATCAATCCAATAGACCGAATTCTACTACTTCGTCTTACACCTGAACTGTTTGAACTATTTTCGGAACTTGTATCAGTACTTCCACTACGACCTCTGAATTCAATTTTTTTGTCAATATCATTCGTATTGTTAATTGCATTTTTTATATCAAATTCCCGTCCTTTGTAGTTAGTAAGGGATAATAATGTATCATTGCTATTTTCACTGCTGCTGCATAGTTTGATATCTTCATTATCAACTTTATTATTATCTCCTTCACTATCTTGATATTCATCAGTAGTTGTTAAATATTCTAAATTCTTTTGCTGACTTGTACTCTTTTTGTCTTGTGTAATTTTCGATTTTAATGAATCTCGATCTGTACATTGAAGTCTATCAATGCAAGAGTTGGATTCTAAAATATTTTGTTCTTGATTTTTAATAATATTGTTAGGTTCTACAGTTTTCGAGAATATTTCCTTATCGTTAGAACTAACAGAATCATTCGAGCGATGTAATTGCTCCATCTTATCCAATATTGACGAACTACTTTCGTCATCAATATTTAATTGTACTGGAGACAGTTTTTCCATATTTAAAGGAGTTTGTATCAGAGAATCAGCGCTTTCCACACTAGACAGATCATTCACTAATTTTTGTATTTCTTGTGAAGATTCACTTATCTGCATATTTGCTAGTTTATTATCTATTTTATTAAAAGAATCTTCCTTTGACAAATCTATGTTCATATTTTTTGCTTCTAAGTCTTTGCATTCCCGTTTGCAGTTATCTTCTTCAGTAGAAGAACCAGAATCATCTTTAGCGGAAAATAAACAAATTTTGCCAACCATTGATTCTGAAATTTCTTTTGTAATTTTATCATAAATTGTCTTTTTTTGTTTTTTACTACTCTCACCTTCTAATACAACTTTCTTTTTATTGATATAAGATTTATCTGTATTAGAATCTGTGGCATTATTATTCCCACTACTGCATGAAGTTACCAATTCAGCAGTATTCATGGCTGATATGGAATTTTCTGATTTGTTCATATGTACACTATTAACATTTTTTTTAATAGCAAGATATTCATCGTTCAAAATTTTTTCTGACTTAGATATCATAGATCCATTACCGTCCTCATTCTGTATCACAGTAAATTCTACAAAATTTTTGTTTTCTAGATTAGATTCGTTTTCAAGTAATACCTCTTCAACTATAACATCACTCTGTGCCAAGGAATAATGGTTGTCTTCAACATCTTGCTCCACTTGCATTTCTTCACAGATTATCATTTCCTCTATGACCTCTTCTGACCACGTTTCAGCCTTGGCTGATGCAGGTAAAGATTCATTGCTTGGACTTGGATTACCAATAACAACTTGTTGTACATCCTCTGGACTAAGTTTTTCTGAATTTTTAATCATATTATCCATATCATCTTGACTGTCACTTTCACCCGTATCACGTTTATGTTGAATAGCATTGTATAAAGCATATTCACTATTTACAATTACACTGTTGCTGGAAGTACCTTTATGTTTGTTATGTTTCTTCAGAGAATTTTGATTTTTCTTTGAAAAAACTTGGCTATGACCTTCAATAGTAGACTTATATTCTTCTGAACTGTTTGAGCAAGATGTTTGCGTGATGTATCCATTTATCTTTTTTTCTTCTAATTGCTTCTTAGCTATTTGTCTACTAGATTTACGTACAGGTATATATTTATGAGATGATGATTTCTCAGATGCTTTTACTTCAGTTTTACGTCTGCGTGCCATTTTGATTCCATATATACTCTCTCAGTCTGGAATAATTAAGATCAGCATACAATTTGTTGTAAAAAAACTGATTAAAAAAAGAATTTTTATTCAAATGAAATATAACATATTTTCTATACAAAACATAATCTAAGATAGATATTAGAATAAATGTATATAAATACCTAATAATATATCGCTTTAATATATTATATTCCTCTTACATACTATAGATTACAAAATAATTTTGTAATCATTTAATATCACAACAAATTTTGGAAGACTATTGAACAGCTATGAAAAACTCAATTCTAAAATATAAAAGTATGCAGATAATTAAAATCTTGCTCTATCAAGCCCATCAATTAAAGATAGGGAATAAAATTTTAATACAAGACAAAATATCAGGAAATTACTAATTTATCAATCGTTTAAATAAAATTTTGTATAAAAATATGCTACTAAATGTTATAATATAAATTCAGTTGTAAACAGAGGTCAGAGGAATAAATGAACAAACATATTTCAAGGTCGATCAAGACAATTTGCTTTGCATTTAAAACTGAAGACATAATTGAAAAATTGCCATTACATACTTAAAATATATTGCTTTCTCTTCTACTTTTTCTCTTAAAGTAGTTGTGAATTAAAGATCCACGGACAACAATATATGATATGGACAAACGAAAAAAAGGTCCTGAGAACTTGCTGACCATCTAAGTCAATTATACACTATCGCAAAGCAAGCATCATAATCACTCTTGCATAGGAAACCAATTGCTACATCTATACTTCCACTTTGACCAAGTAATAACAGCTTACTCACTGTATGCTTCTAAAATTGTATCTGGCGATTCCAGTGAGAAACTCATTGTTTAGGATACTCAACAACTGTTCCCAAATAAATGCTGTATCGTAGTTCTCCAATTTACCGACATAATCAGGAGTGTGAGACGTGGGTTGTGCTAGAATTGCTTGAAACGTGAATACTGTTGGGACGGCTGCGTGCGGGGAGGCGGCTCGGCAGGACCGTGAGTTACTTTTCGAGTTTGACGTCAACAGGACTTCCACGTGAACAATCGCAGCACGTCGTACATCGATGGGCTCCTTCTTGCTCCTCAGAGTTTTTCTCGCGCTATCTACGAACCGTGTGGCTCGGCGTTCGTCACGTTTGGCACTACACGAATCTCAACTCCGTGATCCTCGTGGGGGCCCACGATGCCTTCTCACGCTTGGCTGAAAAAAATCCTCGTTTTGGCAGACGTTAAATACGACGAGAAAAGCCCATTGCGTTTGTAAGTGTTAAAGGACTCGTGAAGGAAAGTATATATCGTCGATGTACAACATTCTGAGCATGTATATACTCTTGTCGCTACCGAATACCGCCTCTCCTCACTCCGTGCAAACTCACCAAAACTCACTGTCGCAAACAGTCACAAACGAAACCCAGCGTTAACAACGACCTGTAGTGGCAGTATCACGAACTTATGGATGAAGGAACGATCAAGCTGATCGAGCTACAAAACTACTTCAAATGGGAATTATTTCTAAACGAAAAAATTGACTACGCTATATTATGTATATTTTAATCAATGCATCTCTTGTGCACGTTGAACAGTCATCAACAATATGGCGTATTTTAAATGGTTTTTCTCTTTCTCTTTCATCTATCAAAGCTAGAAAGGCGGGAAAAGACGCAAATTTAAAGTATTTACGAATTAGACGAGAAATGTATATATAATTTTTTAAGATATTTTTAAAAAATATTAAATTACGTACTTATTATAATATTGTTTAACATTATTAATTTATATTTTTCATAATATATACATATAAATAATTCTTTGAAAATGATTAAATTCTGCTAATTCATCCTGTATTTATAAAGTATCCCATAAAGACCTCAGGGCTTAAGAGTAGATTCCTGAGGTCATTTTGAAACGAAAATCCTAATATCAAAATATAGATTACATTTTGCATTGTACCACACTTGAACGCGCGATCTTTAGACGATATGATTCGCTAATTTTAAAGTACTTATAATTAAAGACTATTATAAATTTGGAATTAAGATATTCCCTCGAAATGATTTCAGGAATCGACTCTTAAACGTTATTACGATCTTTACAGGATATCCAGTATATCTTTCTCATCATATACAATAGAAAATTGAAATTAAACGTAGATAACATTATTAAATAATTAATTTCTCTCATTGTTTCATACTCAATTCGTAGAAGCGAGAACGAGAGAAATATATAAATATTTTCATTTATTTAAAAAATATAATAAGTATAAAACAAGAAAAAATGCAAATATGTATGCATATTTTATAGATATCATCTTATATATATTCTATTTCTTAAAAGTTATCTTATATATCTTTTCTACTTTATAAATCATACATTTCGTTAAAATCATCCTTGTTTAGAATTACAAATTGTCAGTCTTTTAATTTTATGTATTCCTTTATATTTCAATGTGTATTCTCATGCTATTAGAAAATATTGTCAATCTTGAACACGATAGTCATAATTCATGACTATTCAATCATTTCGATTATTTCTTCCCTTTATGGCTGCGTTCAGAAATTTCACCCTGGTGCACCCAGGTATCACTTCATCTTTGTTTAACAAACAACATAAAATGATATCTGAATACACCCGAGTAGTTTCTGAACGCGGCCTATAATGATAACGTAAAATTGAGAACCAATAATTCAATTTTAAAAATGTAATTATTTCTCGAATAAAATTTAAAATGAAAAAAGTTTACATATAAACTTTCTATAAAATAATTATACGATATTAAGAAATTGTATTAGCTTTGTAATATTTTATCTTGTTAATACAACTCAGGCAATATATGTGAAGATATGGTCATCTAACATTTTATGAATTTTCATGATATTTAGGAACAATGTATGGTTCTCTCTAATTTTAAGCTGCTTGCAATGAAAACACAAATGTACTATTTATTATAATAATCGTGTACTGTTCAAGATAAAAATAAAAAATAAAAATTATTTATATGTCAACGAAAATGATCCCACATATATGAGAATATCCTATTTTACAACTAATTGCCCATAAAAAATCAAGTACAATAGAATACATTTGTAAATAAGTAAATAATAAAATTATATATATATATATACATATAAAACAATTCTGTCAAAGATTTTGTAGTTGCTTATTATCAGATTTTGTTTTTGTAAGTGACACATTAGGTACAGTTAAACTGTCACTTGGATCTTGAACGCTTTCAGATGTATTTGTAGTACTGGATCTTTCACTGTTAGAATTTGAATTTTGGAATTTAGGCGTGGAAGTCCTTCCTTTTAAGAGTACAGCTTGTTCGGTACTCTTGCTAGCTTCTTTGATCGATATCGATGATACATCACTAATATCCGGAAAGCCATTTGAACCATGTTGTTTTTTAGTAGGAGAAATCATCCTTCTAGCTGTATTTATTGGTGTAACATCCGAATTCGAAGATGAACTAAGAGCACTTGCCTCTCGAGTTTTCTTTAGCGTCGTGACTGCCCAACCTAAACCTAATTTTTTCAAAGCTATTTCCATTTCTTCCGGTGATGAGGTATGTTTTAGCACATCCGATGATGGAGAACTAGTTATTTCGGAAATACCAGATAATCCGGAAAAACTGTACACACTTGTAGACGTCATTTTATGTTTACTTTCTTTATTTGGATTATTAAGATCAGTACTTATGGAAGAACCAAGTTTATCTTTTGTTTGAGAAACAAGTTCTTCTGTTGTATTACATTGTAACTGTTTATTACATTTTTCGACCATATACTCCCTTTCAGCATCAGTTTTTGTTTCTGTAATACAATCAGCCATACTTTTTAATTTTTCAGGAGAATTGCAAATAGTTTCTTGTGATTTCTGTGCAAAAGATAGCTTTTCAACAGAATGTTTTATATTGGATAACGAATCTGCCGGTTTCTTTGAGGAATTTTGATTTTGTTGAACAGGTAAAGGAGCAACATGAAGAGATGGCTTAAATTTTGCTGGGCTCTTGCTATTTTTATTAACTGTATCCGTTGTATCAAATTCCACTATCGTTGATAATTCATGTCCTGATGATTCTAATTCTGGTCTGTTTAGATTAATAAAATAAAATAAAATAATTAGAATAGTTCATGAAATATAAAGAATTTATAAAACAAAAATATAATTGAAATAGTGATACTAAACAGAATTATTAAATTAATCTTACCTATACAGTCCATTTAATAATGTAACAGGAGGTTTAGGCCTTGCACTTATTGATGTCACATTTCCATGATTGCGCAATATTTTGGGAATGCCAGTTAATATAGGAATAAAATCATTTTCTTTTGTTGTCTACAAATATATATATATATATTATATAAAATAGCTCATACATAAAAGTTGTTTTATTATAAATAATATTAATATTTATCATACTTATCATAAAATATACTATAATCTTCATATATTTATAAAGATGTACAAATATTTTATTCTTTTTCACGATTATATTTTTAAAGATATATAAATGTCCAGTATACAGGGTGTGTATACTGGACATTTATATAACCCTGTATACAAATAAAAATGTTATTTACCTCTGGAACAAAGGCAAATTCTTTTGTAAGGCTACTGTCCTTTTCATGTTCTAATGAGGCACTCTTTTTCAAATTAAGATCCTTAAAAGGCGATGCTTTTTGCTGTATTTCATTATTTTCTTTCGAAGTTGCAAAGGCGGTGCTCTCTTTATCCAAATTTTTACTCTGTTCTAAAATTTCTTTTGACAATTTCTTTATTATCTCTTCTTCATGAAGAGGAAGTGTACACGGGGGCCAAGAGTTACGCTCCAACATTTTTGTTGCCGACATTGCTTGAGGTTTTTGCTGCATTTTAAATCGGTTAAACTGTATATTAACTTTGTCATTGCTAATAATTTTTGGCTTAGCTTTGCCTTCTACTACTTTGGATTCCTGTACATGTGCTTTAATAGTATCTACTAATTTACTTCTAGGAGTGGAAGTGATCGCCTGGATTTCCGCATCACACAAGGTTTCATCCTTCAAAATTTCTTCGCTTCCTTGCATAATTCTTTGTGATTCAAGAAGAGTTCTTGCAAGTTGAGCATGAATTTCTTCTATACTGTCAATTAATCTGCGAACTGCTTGTACATCATTACGTGCTGGTTTTGGTGTAGATAATTGTAATAAGCTAGTGTCATCGCTTGGACTGATTAGTGAAAGATCCATATCTGCAATATGTATATATGCTATTTTTTAAGTTTTGTATATGCAGAAACAATATTTTATTAACATATTCAATATATTATTTCATTGAATGTTAATGGTAAATTGTGCAGAATTAATTGAAAACAACATAAAAATATGTTATGAATGATTAAAATTAAGTTGCATATTAATTAAATAATTTTTTAATACTTTACCTTTTTGTTCATTTCGTACTTTTTCGATGAGGTCAGTTAAAGATGCTATTCTTTCTGTACATAAGTTTTGTAGATCTTCATATTTTTGCAATATTTCAGGACAATTTTTCAAAGCATAATCGTGAATATCATCAAATTTTATGTGTAACAATTTACATTGGGGATTTTTACATATACAAACTTTAGATGGCTGCGAAACAGCAGGTATATATTTTGATGCTTCAGATTTCTGACAAACATCCAATGAATCTGTTAAAGTGGACTGATCACGTTGTGTCGATGATATCACAGTACTATCATTAGTTTGAGAATTATTCAAACTAAATCTAAGCATTCTACTAATCTTATCACGATGTGGAATGTTTGATGGCATCATCATTGTACGAGGTGAAGGAGTTTCTGGTGTGGAAACAGGACTGATGTCTTGTAATCTTCTTAATTCTCTAGGTCCTGGAGAATCTAACATTTCTAAAATCGGCGTGACGTTAGCCAGAGCGTCAAATATTGATTTAGGCTTTATTGGTGGTGGGCTTGCAAATGACGTTGATGTATCTGAAGTATCTTTCATCCGAATCCATCTTTTCGTTCGAGTCCGAACCCGATACGGTTTACCCTCTTGATCTTGATCGTTCAGGCCTGAAATTGTCTGTGAGCTTTCTGCACTAGCATCTATCGATACTCTTGTTTCCTGCGATGGATCTGTCTCATCATCAACTTGCGCAGATTCACTCATGTGAATATCAACTCTTCTAGTAGCTGTATCTGGCGTATCCAAACATTTCGTTTTCTTTTGAGGAGTCGAACGAGAGCCTGACTGAATTCTCGAGAATCTCTTCATAGGCGACGTCGCTTTAGAACTAATCGATGTTGAGCGAATTTTTTGATAAATTCGAGGTGATGGTCGCTTTGATATTCTCATGCTATTTTTCTTCTTTTTAGGTGTTACAATTATTTCTTTTTTGTCAATTTCAATGATCATACCACTCTCAGAGCTTGTTGAATCATTGCTACTATTGTCTGTCTCTGGTGTAACAATAGTAATTTTTGGTTCAATCGGATGTGGCATTCGTTCAATTGTATCTCTGTCAGATTGTGGCATATGCACATCTTCTTGAGATAATTCCACTTGTACACTCTTATTCTCTGCTGGACTCGTTTTATCTAATGGACTCGTTTTTTCTACTGGATCCGTTGCTTCTGTCTGAACAGCAATCTCAATCTTTTTTACAAGTGATTTATCAGGTTTCTTCATCTTATGATCTTTTCTAATACATTCGTCACTACTAGACATATTTAAAACTTTAATTTCAGGTGACAAAGGCTTGGCAGTACTAGCGTCTGATGTTTTTGTTGGCATTTTATCTTCAAAGAGTGGCTTCATGCTGACATTAAATATGTTATCTGGCAAACTGGTGCCAAATTCTTGTAACAACAATCTTTTTTGTCTTTCAATTTTTTTCAGCATATCCAATACTTGTTCTTCGCGTGACATTTCGCTATCTTTATCCCTTTGTGTATGACAAACATCTACTTGCTGTTTAATAAGATGAGGATCTTCCCATGTGCAATGAGGTACATCATCGTGCAGGCCGTCTTTTTTTTGTACTGGTAAAGTAATGATTCTTTCTGTGAGATGAGTGTGCCGGGTCGGTACATAACTGTCTGTACTGCAAATCTTCTTAGCTGCACGGTTTAATTTCTTTTTACGTTCTTCTTGACATTTATTTTTCTGATGTAATCGCATGCATGTATCTTCTTCTGTAGATTGAATTTGACTAGCTTTTAGCTTGCGTTCTTCCTGCGCAAGATGATTTAGATTTTGTAGGAGCGCTTGATAATCTCTTCGTACTTTTTCTCGCAAAATCGCATCTTCCCCACGACGTTCGGCACGATGTTCAGCACTTAATTTATGACTTTTGGATATATGCGTTTCTCTATTCTCTGCATTTTTCATTACTTGCGCCACTTCCATGGCACTTGGCTCATTTCTGATATCAATTCTTTCAACCATAGGAAGAGGCCTATCATAAATATATCTCTGATACATAGTGCGATCACATTGTGATTGTACTTTGTTCTCTGTTAAAGCTGGAGTTTTAGGAGTCTTGCATGTAATTTGTTCTATAGCATCAGAAAAATATGACGAATCATCGCTGGTTGAACTAGAATTGTTAGAACTGCTGACACTGCTTGTGTTATCCGATGTGTTATGCGTGTAATTTGCTGGATTATACTTTATTTTATCAGATTTAGTTGAAATAATGCTCATACTTGGCACTGTTGTTCGTGGGATTTGATCATCACTTACATCATCAATAATATCCTTAATATGATCCGATGTATATTTGTCTACTTTCTTCCTTAAGAATAACTCAGGAGACTGTACAAAAGATTTCTTTTGTAATCCTGAAGGGCCTGGTTTAGGTGATGTTTTTTGGTGTTCCTTTAGATTAGGTTTTTTTACTTTTCTAGGCGATTTTTTTTTAAGAACCTTTTTATTCTTTCTTTTTGGAGTTAACGCTTCGTGTACAATTTCTTCATTTATACTTTGAGAAGGATTTCTTTCCATCCTGTCATTTTCCTCAGGTGGCTGTGGAAGTTTGGCTATCATTGCAGCCCTTAAATTTTCTATTTCGCGTACTCTACGTAATCTTTCTTGACGAGCTGCTTCTGCATCATCTATCCATTTTGTTTCCTTCATGCATTCCATGGCATCCTTTCCTCTTTTTAAAGCCATAACTCTATCTTTCTTTCCTTCCTCTTTTATTATTGTATTTGCGTCTGGTTGCAAAGCAGCTGAGGCATGAGCTTGACCGATATCTTCCAAATCTTCCTGATACTTGCGTTGTATGTCCATAATTTTTCTATCATGCATCTGCTTGAGTTCTGACTTCCCATTTTTCTCCAATTTGCTAAGTTCCTCCCTCGCTATCTTCTTAGCGCGTTCTAAAAGTCGATTTGATATCTCTTTTGACTGTTGTCGAACCTATAACGCAATATGTCACTTTAAATTAGACTTATGTTTACATTGTCAAGCACATAGGACACAATCACTTACATACAGAAAATTGACAATTTAATTTGTTTATATAGATTCAAATTAAAAGAAATCAGTAACTCAATATTTCTTATTCCTTTCATTCGAGCAGTTTGAAAATTTTCGACGAATACACGTACCTGCTCCAAGCGTAATCTTCGTCGACGATCACGTTCGTTCTTCTTAATTTGATCCAAATCGGATAGCACTATTCTTCCACGACGTACATTTATAGGATTTCCAGTCATGGTAACGTGTATTGATACATTTCATCGAGAAAAATTGCATTAACTTGCATGAGCTGAGCTCTTATCAACGTAACCGTATAATACAGTTTAACTCAAATTTAAAATGACAGAAGAACGGCCATGTCAATTTCTAGGGAATGGCTGCGTTCAGCAAAGAAAGCAGCGCAACTGTAGGGTGAAATCACACGGTGCAGAATCCATGTGCTGGATTCACACTGCATCCGATTTTCGTCGTACGACACTCTGCATCCAATGTCGTATGACGAAAATCGAATGCAGTGTGAATCCAGCAATAGTCCGGTCTTAAGGTACTTTTTCATGCTGACGCTCGACGCTTATTTTCGGCATCAAAATAAAGGTGCATTCACATGCAAGCGTCAAGCATCAAGCAGCGGAAGCAGCAACCAATCAACGAGGCGATTTTTACAGTGGCGTAAAAAATATTTTTGCACCACCGTCCGTATCACCCTGATTGGCTACGTTTACACCGTGCATTTAGGCCGCGGCCTGTACAATAGATGTCTTTGTTTATCCTGTATATTAAACAAAGCACCTATCGTATAGGTCGCGGACTAAGCGCACGGTGTAAACGTAGCCAATGATTGCTGTTTCCGTTGCTTGACGCTTACATGTGAATGCACCTTAAGTCACGTGATAGCATTGGTCGCGTTCAGCAGACTCACTGTTGTGGAGCGGATCCGTGAGCGCTCACTGCTATTGGTGTATTCTTTTAGATCATCCAATAGCAGCGAGAGCTCATTGATCCGCTCCGCAACAGTTGAGTCTGCTGAACGCGACCATTGACGAATATCAAGCGTCAATTTTGATCACATGACCTATTTTGACGCTGAAAATGAGCGTCGAGCGTTAGCATGAAAAGGCACTTTTACTCAGGCTGCGGTCCACGCTACAAACGCTTCGAAGCATTCTTTGATTAGTCAATTCGTAAAATTCTTTGTTCTGATTGGTCTCTCAAACGCTTCGAAGCGTTTGTAGTCAAGTGGACCGCAGTCTCAAATACACGATGTAAACTAGGCATATGACCCCTTTTACACCAAACACTTGTGGTGCGTTCGGGGAGGCGCTAATAGCGCTATCTGTCATTCTATCTTCGTTGTTTATTAAACGTAAAACAAGGATAGAATGATACAATAGCGCTAATAGCGTCTCCCTGAACGCACCTTTGACCTGAACGCGTATTACCTAGTAACTTTCTATTAAATTATTTTAATTTCAGCAATGTATTTAAAGAACGATGTATTAAATTGATAGAATATGCATTAAAATGATTAATTAAATACACATATCATGTATATGTTTACACGTTTCGCCGGAAATTAAGATAATTCAATAGAAAGTTACTAGTTAGTATCCGTATCATGTGCACGATGTAAACTAGGCAATTGACGTCATCGTCAGGCGGCCAAGATGGTTGTCAATGTTGATAAGTGGTTTGGTTATACGGTGGATCGGTAACAATAAACGACTGGGGCAGGGGTATTAAGAATAATCGGCGTTATGCCTGTCAAGTGAAAGCCCGTACCGATGAAAATCCACGCATTAGGTTGGCCGTTGCGCGAGGAATGGCAGCCTATGGAAATGTGGAGAAAGTACGACGTGCTATGGACGTCGCACAAACTATGATTAATTTGGCCGCTGATCAGCTTGACGATTTGCGGTCTCAGTGCTCCGTTAATGCTCCGCTTACTCAGAAAGAAATACGGCAAATGGAGGTGAGGGGCCCCTCGAAGGCTGGCTGTACCTCGCGCGCGAAAATCAAGATCGATCTGTTCGTCTACGCTGGTCATCGCGTCCCAGCGCGGCTTCTCGCTGTCGATCGTCAACAAGTTGTAACTGTGCTGTTCCGGCGTCCTTTAAAGTCTTGAGAACCTCTGGACTCCGTTACATCGGCGAAAACGCCAAAAAATATTGCCTCCGGGTCCCGCCGTGCTTCGTGATACGGCAGCATCAGTTGTTTTTAACATTTGTTTACATTGTTCTTGAGAATGCTTACCTGCCGTTGCCAATCTGAAAATGAGAAATTTGTGATATCTCTCTCACTCCATTGACAAACTCCGTTAAAAACATATATTATTTGGAACTTATTTACAATTTTTTATTTTACAATATGATTATAATTTCAAAATTATTTAAGATGTTTTTGTAGTCAAAATTTATGGTCTTAGAAAAGTTACGATATAACATTTGATAAACATAATTTTTACTCCCAGTATAAAATGTGCAATATGTCGTGTTGTATGCTTATTTTGAATAAATACGCTGCTTTCAGTCTGTGATTGAGAAATTTGTGATGTCATTCCATTGAAAGATACAATAGCATGAATTAAAACTTATTTACAACGGTTCAGATTACAATTGTAATAATTAAGATTTTTTAGTGATAGAAATTTATAGTTTGAAAATTATGTTATGATATTTGATATAACTTTTTTTTATTCTTGGTACATTGTGTTTGTCTTCTTATTTTAAATAAACATACACAATCACGGAAATAAACAAAAGTTTAAATTAATATATATATATTATAAATTACATAACTTTGTTGTGATTATTAATAATATTAAATATGCGTCACAATAGCTGTAATATTGAATAAGTTCTATTTATATTTAAACTGTTCATATATATATATATTTAAACATTTTTGTAGGCAAAATTAATAAAATTATACTCCAAACAACTTGCGGCAAAGGCTAAATTGGCCGATTCGTTACCATCAGACATGATACAATATCCATTGTTAGAACAATGGTTGAGGGTAGTTGGTCTTACTGAGGACTCAATACAGGTAACAATGTACACAGATATGAGTAGATTCTTTATGATTTGTTACAAGTTTAACATGTCATTTTTATTTATCTGAAAATAAATTTAAATAACATTACACTGAGTTTTAATTTCTTTTTCTTTAATGCTCTGCATTATAATATTTTAGATGGTTTGTTCTAAAGTTAATACTATTGAGGCCCTGAAGGAGAAGTCTGAACTTGAATTAAAGGGTATGTTAAATGAAAATTGTATATACTACAAGGAAGAATGTCGTAGGCTTTGTAAAGCATTGGACATTCTATGGCGATACACTGGTAAATAAAATTTTATATTATAGAAAAAATTCATTTTATTTGTATAAATGAATGACATAAAACAACACATATATTCGACTATTATGTTTTTGTTAGATATTCTGATAAGAGGAGCTATGGAAAAAAATGATTCAGATTTATACTGGGATTCTTGGGATAGTTTACGCAAGGAAATTTGTCCTAAATCAATTCTCTGTCGTACTACGCGGTGTTCCATTCCATCAGAGAGTAGCATTCCATATCATAATAACAACAATGATGTATTAGTACCAGCTTCTGCAATATCAACTTCTTTTTCAATACCAAGTAATCCTCCCTGTATCTCATTACCAAAGAGAGAGCTAGAGTTTGGTAAGTGAATTGAAGAAAAGATGCTTTAATTATCTCTTGTGTTTTGTTATATTTTAAAGATTGTATGAAGCAGTTTTTAACATTGACTTGCATGTCACTCATGTCATGGGTGATGCATAAATTTTCGCAAACGTTTCATCACCCAGATGAGGTGGGTGACGATTTTATTTATTCGATTAAAAGAATCATTTTACTAATAATAAGTATTTGAAACACACATTAAAGAAATATATAAATACAAATTAAATATTGATATAAATTATATTAAGATATTAAAAAACAAATGTATTAAAAAGATTAACTCTGATCAGTACTCTCGTGAATTGAATACATTTGGATATTTTCTTCAACTACGTTATGAAAAATTGTTTATAATAAATATTTCATAATTTTACATAATTTTAAATTACATAATCTTATTCCTCGGATTTTAACCTTGAAAATAAAAAAAAAAATCAATCATGTTAATTTTAAGCAAAGATGCATTAATTTAAAATACACTGGACCCACGAACACCAGTGTTAAGGAAATTTTTAAATGAATATAATTAAATTAAATTAGAATTAAAAATAATATATGCTTAATGCTGAAATGAGTTTGGTACTCGAAATTTTAATATGATAAAATTGTATTGAAGATATACAAGGTGATTCTCCGGACAATTGCGACAAACTTAAAGGATTGTTAGGTCTCATTAAATTAAATTTTGTGAAATAACTCGTGCCTGGTAATACTTCTATAAAGCCATTGAGTATTGTTGACAGTTACACATTCCTTACTCCCAAAACACAGTACAAATGAGCTTAACAGGATAATGAATGTATATGGTATAATTCGAATACTCTTGGAATTTTCCTGAGAGTACATTAATTAAAAGTGTACCATAGATATTTATTATAATGTTAATAATAAAGTTACAGATATCGCTATTTCGAATATTTATTGTAATAAAATAAACCAAGTAAAATTAAAAAATATGATTTGTTTTTAATCTAATATTGAACAGAAATCAAATAGCGTTCAAGATTAAAAACTGATGCCTAGCATTTTAAGAAGGCATCGCCGGACATGGGTTACTTAACAAAAATTCAATTTATCGAGATCCAACTCTCCTTTAAATTTGTTTTATTTATCCAGAATTACCCTGTATATTTGATATACAATATGTCTTCACATTTAATATTAAAATAACTTACCTACTAAATACATAAATTTTTTTATTATAGAAGTTAAACCTCTGCCTCCAGAAGTTAAAACTCCTCCTCCATGTAGAAAACATTTGATTAGTGTACAAAAGAGGCCATTACAATCTGAAGTGCTTCCGTTAGCTAAGTCAAAATCTCATGAATCACAATTGGCAAATCGTCGTCTTGCTAACATAATACAATTTGATAATGATGATATATCATTTAGGTAATACTTAAAATAGTATTATGTATTCTCTCTCTATTAATTTGATATATGTAATTTTAATTTTGTTATAATTTTATAAATTTAATTTTAATAAAATATTAATTTTTTAAATGTACTAACATTATATATTTTTAGTTTTAGAAATAATTCTTCTATAGAGAAAAACAGCGATTCTCCTGTAAGAAGAAATCTACTAGCAGAACAAAATTTAAATTGCGGTACAACAGATTCTGGAAAAGAAGAAAGTCCTTTATCAAGCAACAGTAGTCCTATTAAATCACCCATTAAATCACCTATTAAATCACCTCTCTCTATTAAATCACCTGTTGAATTACCTACTGAATTACCTTTCAATCATCTTAAATCACCTGTTAAATCACCTATAAAATCACCTGTTAAATCACCTGTTAAGTCATTTGTTCGATCACATTTTAAATCACCACCACCACCTCCAATCTGTACCACAAATCCAGAAAATGATGATAATCTTGAGGGAGCAGGTACATAAAAAAGAAAAGCTTGTTAGCATTCTCCTATGAATAAATACAATATCATTTTGTTTGTTTATTTTTAGGAACAAGTCTCCAAGTGCCAAACTCTCCATCTACTCCTGGTTCATCTCGCGGCATGAGTCATGCAATTACGCATCGATTTACCAAATGTTTTAATATGATGACAGTATGTGACTATTGTGAGAGACCAGTGTTTGTGAATACTTTAAGATGCAAGGAATGTAAATATAGGTGTCATCCAGAATGTCTATCCAAAGTACCCTCTTCTTGTGGCATACCTCGAAAATTCGTTGCTGCGTTTAAACGATCTATACAATCTTTACAACGTGCGTAAAAACATTGCAACTAATACAGAATGGTGATCCTTATCTAAGCTTTCTTTTCACATTTTCTTGAAGCTATACTAAAGTTTTTTTCAAGTATAACAAACGTTTAAAAGTAAGTTATAAAAAAATTAATTATTTTAGATTCGTTGAATGTTTCCCCAGTATTAAAGAGGACTGGCATGACATCTTCGAATAATGTAGACTTATTACCCCCTTTAAATCGCAAAGACAGGAGACGGTCATACACACAATCTTCTACAAATATACCTGTTCACGTACGTTATAATTTCCATTGAATATTTTTAGATGATTTTTAAATATCATGAGTAATGTATAAGTAAATTTTTATATAACGACATAAATGTATTGATTTATATTGCATAACGAATCATTTTTGATCATTTGATATAAACATAATGATGTAAAATCTTTATATAATAATTATTTACATTTATTAGGGCGATTCTAATTTAAATACATTCAGCCATAATCGCTCAACACCTTCTAGTCCAGCATTGCTATCAACCACTGTTAGCCACAGTACACATTCGTTTCTAAGACAGTTTCATTTTCCAGGTAAATAAAAACATTGTTACAATATTATGATTTGCAACTTTATTGTCAGAATACTGATGTATAATTTACTTTGCTTCTAGATGTAATGATTAAAAAGGAGGCATTATCAGGAAAATTACATGAGAAGAGATACAAATCTGAATCAGCGATTTCGAATGATAATAGAAGAAAAAATGATATGGATGATACTTCAGATTCAGAGGTATCAAAGAGAATTGATTCTCAGGAATCTTTAAGTTCTGACAGCGAAATAGTTGAAAATCCATGTCGTTGGCCTCGACAAAATAGCGTATGTATTAATCTTACTAATAGCTTAATAAAAATATAAAATATATCTAATTAAAATTTATATTTTAATTTTATTATCATATAGGTATTGATGCAAGAGTGGGACATTTTATATAATGAATTGAAAGTTAGAAATTTGATTGGAAAAGGAAAATTTGCTACAGTGTATAGAGGTTTTTGGCATGGGGATACTGCAATTAAAATTTTAAATATGAGTTATTATTCAGAAGATGAGAAGACATTAGAAACATTTAGATTAGAGGCAAGAATATATAATTATGTTGATTATCTTAAATACTGAAATTATTAATAATCAAGGATATTTTATGGTTACATAATAAATATTTCGTATATTTGGTTATTATAGGTCGCCACATACCGAATAGCTCGGCACGACAATATAATATTATTTTTAGGAGTTTGTACGAAACCTCCTCAATTGGCTCTAGTGACTAGTTTGTCTAGAGGCATATCACTTTATACTTGCCTTCATATACGAAAAGACAGATTTACTTTGACTGAAATTAATTCTATAGCTCAACAGATATGTCAGGTAAATATGAAAATCATATATAAATATTATGTAAACATTTTAAAAATAACATTAATTTACAAAAAAATTTTTTTAATTACTTTGGATTAGACAAGGCGTTTCTTATAAATTTTTAGCTGAAAACGATGCCAAGTTAAATTTCATTAGCAGTTTCATTTCTGAAATAATTGAGGTTTAATGTGCAAAACATTATTTGACATTTTTCTGTATAAAAAGTTAACGTTATCTTGAAATTTTGACCAGTGGAAAATTTGTTATCTTAGAAAAATCTTGTATTTAAATCCTTCATAACATGACTAAAAAGTAAGATATTGAAATAAAAAGATTCATTTTATAAGGAATAAACAATACATTCATGACTTTTAATTGGAATTTCAAGATAATATTAACTTTCTTTACAAAAAAATATCAGATATCATTTAAAAAGCCATTTTTTTTGTATTAAACTTTAATTATCTTGGAAACCTGACGTGCTAGATTTTTTATTTGCAGTATCATTTTCAGTATTCAAAAATAAGAAACACCTAATTCAGTTTGAAGTAATTTTTACTGTAAATTAGGATAATTTTTAAGACAAGTTATCTGTATATACATATAATTATACTGTTAATTGAATAAACTTAATATATTAAAAATAGCATAATGATAAAAATGTATAAATAAAATATTTTATTAAGAAATTAAACATTGAAAAATTATAAATATTTGAAAAATCTTATTATATAGTATATTCTTGTAAACAACTTTATTTTGTAGGGAATGAAATATCTTCATTCTCGCGATATAATTCACAAGGATCTTAGAAGCAAGAACGTATTTGTAGAAAATGGAAAAGTTGTGATATCAGATTTCGGTTTGTTTAACATTACCAAATTGTGTCACGGAAATAGGTAAAGTTATATCTTGCAGAGTAATATTTATTCCTGCCAAATAATTTATATCTTAACTTTTAATATAAGCTCATTCTTATAAATATTTAGGAAAGGAGAACCATTGAATATACCACCAGGTTGGTTATGTTACTTAGCACCTGAGATTGTTCGACGATTAAAACCATTAAATCGAGGTCAGGACAAGTTACCATATTCAGTAGATTCTGATGTTTATGCATTTGGGTTAGTACTTTTACGATATTTATATATAAATATGTAATTCTAAGTTTATCTTGAAAGTTGTAAAACACAATATATTTAAATATTTACAAAATATTACAAATAAAAATAATTAATAATATAAATAATATTTAATAAAAAATAATAAAATATTGGTTTGTCTTAAAGTGCACTATTTCTTAAGTAAGTGATGACGATTTTAAAAAGATGTATATATAATTTATATATCATCACTAATTAACTGCAAATATTCTTTAACACAAATTATATTTATTATTTTTTATTATATACACTACTTCATAAATTCGGGAATATTTGTGATTTTCTTACAGTTTACAAGAATTTAAATATCTTGATGAAAAAATTCTAGCCCCGTCATTCGTAATTTTAAAACTTCCCATTTGAAAATTATCATTAATATCAAAAACTATTATAGCTTCCACATTTTCGTATTATACTTTTTGTCTTAAAATGTTACAAAGAATCTGGCTTTAAAATATTTATTGTTAGTTTTGGGACATCTTGTGTATATATATATGTATATACAATATACATATGTATATGTATATATGTACATAAAACATAATAAATAATAAGACTTTAAAAAGGTACTTTTTGATAGGACTATCTGGTATGAACTATTATGTGGTGAATGGCCTTTTAGAGGTCAACCTACCGAAGCTATTATTTGGCAAGTCGGAAAAGGAATGAAACAATCTTTATCATATTTGCAAGCTTCCCGTGATGTAAAGGTACATATAAAAATTTAGACCATATTTGTGCATATTTATACGATCTGTATAATGATTTATTTATAAATTTTATACACTATTCTATTATTTATAAATATTATAGAAATCTTATAAATTTTTTATAGGATATTCTAATGTATTGTTGGTCATACCATGCAAAGAGACGTCTTGACTTTATAGAGATAATAACTCTACTTAAAAGGCTGTCTCGCAAAAAATTAGCACGTAGTTCCTCCAATCCTACAAATTGTACTCGTTCTGCAGAATCTATGTTTTGAATACATTTAAGTTTATTTAAATGCTGTTGTTCTTATAATGTAAATATAGAATTATTGCCAATTCTTTTGTTCAAGAAAAGTAAAATAAAAATCACTGAAAGGTTCGCGCTTGTTTGCATTACTAATTTATTAAAATGTGCGAAGGAAGAATATTAATCTAATTATAAAATGTTAAATTGTTGCGAATTAAATACATATCTTTTTTGTGAATAAGGATCATAATACTAAAGTCTTTCTCTTTAAGAGGAGATATGTATATATTTATTAACTTATATTTGTTAAATATATGTAAATATCTTTTGTATTATATATATATATATAAAATCTACACAAACATCTGTAAATAAGTAATATAATTTTCGAAACAATGATTTTTATATAGATATTATAAAAAAAATCTTCAGTGCACGTTTTAAGAAATAACTTTATTTTCGAAGATATAGTATATCTTATTGAGAATAATAGGCGACAGACAATTTGTTTATTAAATTCTATATTATAAATAAAATTATCAGATGATTATATATACATATCTATTATTAATAATTATTAATAATTATAATTAGGGCAACCAAAATATGTATAGGGTATCTTTTTTTATTTGACTAATAAAGAAATAAACTAAATACAAATTTGTTTTATAAGAAATTGTGCATTTTGAGTCCTATATATTACAGCATATTTTAGTATATTTCATACATAAGAGCATATTTTTGCATATTTCACCCACACATGCACAATATTTACATATTTTATCTATTTTTATTATATATTTCACATCGTTTTCTAATTTAGGTTTATGATTACATTATTATAAGTAAAAAACTTAATTAATATTTTGAAAATTTGTGCCATAAAAAGTAATTTTCAAATGCATATATTCCTTTCTTTAAAGCATTTTTTCAATTTCACAGAGCATATTTTAGGCGCTTAAAAAGAGATTTTTACAGCATAATTTTGGGATATATTCCTTTCTTTAGAGCATTTTTTCAATTTCACAGCATATTTTAGCGCTTAAAAGGGATTTTTACAGCATAATTTTGGTTGCCCTAATTATAACAAAATAAATGAATATAATTTTTTCTCAATCTTTTGAAAAAGATATTTTAGTATTTATCATACTTCATTATAGTTTATCTTTTATTATGTCAGTTGTCTGTCTATTCTTTTGTGCTGTATTTACATTGTATTGTGAGCAGCTATCATGACAAAAATCACGTATTTCAATCCGAATGTTAAAAAGATTTATTATCACACTTATATAAGTTTGCGTTAATTACACACATACAATAATTTATTTTATTTTTCTTCAGTTATCGCGCATACGAAAAATGAATATTTACTTGACTCGAATCCGTGTATATTTTTATACGAATATTTTTTACATATAATCGTGCAAATAACAAATAACATATAAATAAATTATTTGTTTTACATATATAATTTTTTTGCTGTTTGAATATTTCTAAGCCTCTTCCTCTTTCCTTTTTCCATCATTTTAAGGTTTTTGGATTTTATAACTATATTAAAAGCTAGATAAATTCTACAATTTATATTATTTATAATTAAGTATAAATCTTTTAACATTTGGGATTTGTAAATGAAACATTATATTTTAATAATTATTTAATATTTTATTTGGTTGATATAAAAATTTGATACTAGTAAAAAAAAATTTTATTCACTATGCCAAATAAATGAGGAAATATAAATAGTAAAAAGTAAAAATACCTAGTACGCAACATAATATGTATTAATATATAGTATTGTTTTCGATACAATGCAATTTTTTATTTTAACAACATTTATAAATGTTATATATATATAAAATTTTTAAATGTTATTAAAATAAGCATGTTATTTCATTATCACAATCGTCAAATCTATATATAAACATTATAAACATTACGCATATCGAATAAATGGTAAAAATTACTAAATATATTAAAATATATAGCCAATCTTTTTATTCAGTAAATATTTATTTTTCATCAACTTTTTTTTCATAAAATCTTATTTTTATTACGTAAGAGTTTATTATTTAAGAAAAAACTAATTAACTTAATAATTATTGATTCTGAAAAAGTACAAGTTTTTTTAACCATTACACATTTTTTGTAATTCTTGTAATTGTCTTCGGAGCTGTATAGTTCGCAGTTTATTTAACGCTATTCTTTTTTCGAACGTTTGTACCAAAGGCTTTGTAATGTTTTCTGTTATATGAACCAATGCACGTGTCCTGACTGAAAATAAAAATTATCTGAATTGGATTTTTTAAATCTATGTTTAATCCAGATACTAAATACTATTATTTAAATTGTATTTTTAATTTATAAATAAATATATATATGTATAAATGTATATATATACGTACCAGCATCATTATGAATACTGGCGAGGACATCTGGATGATCTTTACAGGCTTCAGCCATATCTTCTTCTTCTTGTACCAAAATTTTCGACAAGTCTGTCATTGTCTGCAACATTATTTAATTTCAGATAGAGTTCTCTTCGCTTTAAATTTCTTTATAATAATACAAAAAATTAAAATCTCTTACTCTTAAACATCTGTCTGAAATATCTGGAGTATGTATTATTTCTAATGGTATCTCTGTAGCTTCACCATTATCTGATTGAAAACAATTTAAGAAGATTTCATGTTCCTTTAAAGTAAAAAAAACATTATTACAACATTTATTTATCTGTATATTATAATTTATCTACATAAACGACTTTAAATTATTCCATAGAATATTTATCACATAAGTTAATGCACTAAAAGTTTTATATTGATTATTGACAATATCAATTTACTATTTATTAGATAAAACTGAAGATTTGATTTTTAGCTACATAAAAGTTACATCAATAGCTGTGAATTTATTGATAAAGAAATTAAGATAAAGAAAATATATATACTTTTGATTCTTTGCCCTCTGAAAATACTGAGAATATTAAGCCTACAAAACTGTGATCCATTGTTTGATAAGTAGCTTGAGTTCTGACATCTGCAAAACAAAACAATTTAATGTAAACATTTTTAATGCAAATTATATTATTTAAACGTTTTAATAAGAAAAATATTTATAATACACACCAACATGTGATGGACAAACTGTAATATGTGGATGCGAATGATACCAGCCAAGGACACGCATAGGTCGATTTAATTCTACAGTTAATCGTTCAGCTTCAGCAGCAGCTTTCAGTAATTGCTCTGACGATATCTCTACTCTGTCTTTCTTCTTATCTAGACGTCGCAAAATAATAACAGCTGATATTTTTGCTACTCCACACTCAAACTAAAAGGGGGATAATTAATGCTTTGATTGCCTCATTAATTGTACAGGAAATAAAGAAATATCATGAATAGATGTTCTAAATTCCACATACATTACCGATAAGTAAGCCCATTACTTCAAAGTTCTCTGTGGATAAAGCATGCTGCAAACATACCATATAGACATCTGTTTGCAGCTCTACTTTTTGCAATGGAGAGTCGTCCATTGTTTATGAAGATATTAAGCCTTTGGAAATGAAATACACAAATGTGAATAAATTTATAATTGCTGAACTTTATAATCGTATTTGAGATATTACAAATAACGCTCTAGTTGCTTAGATTTCTAGAACAAAAATATAGTGAGTATAGGCCTGTTATTCGTAGCTGAACTTCTGCTTTAGTCAAAATTTAGAGTTATTTTCTGAGAATGAACAAATATATACTATCATGTATGTGCGTTTTATTTTATTAAGAGAGTTGCTTCTTAGACAGAGAGGTTTCTGTCTCTCCCAAGCTCCTTTAATAAGACAATTATATATACGGACGAGATGACGTGATAGTATAGTAATTTATGCATAACCTACATCACTTCTGAATTGACGCCCACGTATATGTTTGTCCAACGTTAAATTAGGTGTACATGTAGTCTGACTTCGAGTAACATTTTTTCGTGTGGAAACTGATGTCATTAAGATATATTTAGTCTAGTGCGTTACTTGCATGGTCTTTCGAATGTTGTTTTTTATTCAGCAAACAATACCAGCGGACTATAAATTGACGAGTCTTCAGTGGTCTGGAGTCCAGGTAAACCCGATAACCCGTGGTGTGTTACAGCCGAAAGCCAAACCCAAACGCGAGTCGACAAATCTCTTCCTCGTCAAAAGTCGAGAGAGAGAGAGAGAGAGAGACTGAGAAAGAGATTCTCCGCGTTCCTCGCTCCCCCGGTCCAACGATCTTTTCCAATCTTCCTCTTCGCCTCCTTCGCCACCTTCTCACCGTTAACGCAACAAAGACGACGGAGCGTTGTGTGAATCGGGATTGATCATATTACGATTATATTACCAATTTACGAATATTTCGCTAAAGTGAGCGTCAACATTCAAGAAGTGTGAAAGGGAAATCCCTAAATTCCATAGGATCGTATTACGTGGATAAAGTCAGATCGCTCTCGCCGTATGTTACGCGTCACGTCGTAAAGTGCCAAAGAATCAGTTGGCGGAGATCAATTCTAGTCAATTTCGTTTGATCTATGCTGATTTATGCCGTTTATATTTGACAGGCTTGTGCAACGCAATTATATCGTGGCGTACGCCGGATATATTTAATACGGATTTTAGCGCGCGAGAACGGAATATTTAGCGCGTGCCAGCGTCTATGTGTATACTACTGACCACATACATGCAACGTATATACGCACACACGCGCGCGCGTGCATACATGTACATACACACTTCTTGATTGCTCGCACAATCCCACTTTTACCCACTTTGGAGTTTAATCAGAGGTGGTGTGATGCGCGTACTGTGATGCTCGAAGATGCTCGTAAACAGTTTTTTGTCATCGCGCGGTGGGGTAAGTCGATAGATTTTGAGGTTATGTTTTGTCACAGGCTAACTCGTAGCCTAAATCGATAATAATTTGCGAACTCATGAATTACATTATCTTTAACAGCGTGAAACAATTAACAACGGCAACACTAAGAAACTTGTCGCGTCATGGTAGATAATCGAACACCCATTAATTCAGAAAATAAGTATGGTGCAGTAAACACGGATCAGGACAACCCAAGGGAAACACGCGTGAAAGAAACGATGCCTTCGGAGCTGAGGTC